CTGTGTCTCCCCCATCAGTCTATGGCTTCCTGAGGGCAGGGCTGTGCCTCCCCTGTCAGTCTGGGCTTCTTGGTGTCACCCCCAGCTCAGCCCCAGGCTCTGTGGTCCCCATGCTCACCCTGAGCCCAGTGTCCTCATTGGCCGAGCCCCCATGCCCAGTCCCCCAGACTGCAGGCCCAGACCCTTGTGCCACGTGCCCTGCCCGTGCACTGTGTGGGCTGGGGGTTCCTGTGGGCTCCCGGCCTCCACCCCCCTGCCGGCCCCAGGACCTGGCCAAGGGGCCATGACTGCTGCAGCAGCCCACGGGCCCAGAGCTGCTGACTTGGGGAAAATGGAAACAAAGCAGGGCCGGGGGAAGGGGAGTGCTGCTGGAAAAACACCCAGCCTTCTGCGGCCTCCTGGGCCTGGGGAGGAAACGAGCCGGCCAGGGTCCCGCCAAGTCGGCCTGGGCCTCCATGAGTCATGGCCGGGGGCCTGGGCGGGGGGCGCTGGGGCCAGGGCCCCGCAGCTGCGGCCAGAGTAGTTCAAACAAGGACCTAGTTCTGGTGCAGGGCCACCGAGCCTGAGTCAGCGCCCGGCGGGCGGCCACATGTTCCCCGTAGCCACGTCCACACTGCCGGCCATGGACCCTCACCCTGGAACACTCTGCATTCTGTCCTGCTCCTCCTGGCTCTGGGACCCCAAACCCTGGGCTCCCCCAGCCCTCCTTGCTCCCAGGTCCTGGCTGCATGAAGTCAGGGTCCTCCCCCTGCTCTGGGACCCCAAGCCCATGGCTCCCCCAGCACGCCCTGTGCCCAGGTCCCGGCTGCATGAAGTTGGGGTCCTGGACCCCGGCACAGGGGAAGGGTGGCTTACAGCTTGTCCTGCTCTGGTTCCGGGGCCTGGTGGCCGAGGTCCTCGTCCTCAGCCTGCAGCTGCCGGTCCCGCTCGCGCCGGCGTCGCTCCCTGGCTGCCTCCTCCTCGTCCTCCACGCTCCGCTGGGTGGTGAGCCTGGGGGGACCCGAGAAAGTCGTCAGGCACAGCTGGGGACGGGATGCCGCACCCCATTTCTTCCTGCCCGCTCTGGGCCTCCATTTACCCATCTTTAAAATAGAGGTGGTATGGGACTCTGGAGAAGGGGCCTTGGAGCCCCAACAGGCCTGGAAAAACTCAAGGAAGGGGCACTGGATGGATCTGCAGCCAGGCTTCGGGCCCATGTGGCATTAGCTGCAGGCAGGGCCAGGTAGGGCCCGGGGAGGGTGGCTGGAGGGGTAGGCGAGGGCCGAGGGCCGCAGGCACCAGACATCCTCCCCAAGTCAATGTGGCTGTGGCCAGTCGGGTACTGTGGGACAAGTTGGTGTCCCACCAAGGGCAGGCCTAGCAGGGCAGCCAGATGGGGCACTCCATCCAGCCCCCCAAGAGTGGGCACATTGTTTGTGGGCAGCCCCTGTGTGGGGCCACCCGGCCTGCCAGCCATGGCCCCACGCCCGGCCATGCTCTTGCTTGTGTCATCTCGGCCTGACCCCACAGCTGGGGGCCCCTCACGGTTGGCTCACCCACCGCCCATCCCCAGTTCCACCTCAGGGGTGTTTCTGGACTGGGTAGGTACAGTTTCAAAGATGGGGAAACTGAGGCCCACCGCAAAGCCAGCAAGTAAGGGCCTTCGTCCTCAGCACTCTGACACCCACAGCCTCCCCGAGTGCACTCACGTGGGCAGAGACAACCAGAGGACTGTGGGTACAGAGGGAGAACCAGAGGAGCGCTCCAGGGGTTCAGAGCTGGGGTCCCCGGGCTGGCACGGGCTGGGGTCCCCGGGCCGGGTCTGGCCCCTCCTGCACATGTCCGCCGTGTGACCCTCAGGCCCTGGACGCAATGAGGCTGTGTGATGCTCCTGGCAGCCCTCGCAGTCCATGATCTAATCTCCCTCCTGGGTCTCCCTAAGCCTCTCAGACAAAAGCCAGGCCCCTCCGCAGGCTCAAGTTCAAGGCCCGCTCCCCCCAGCGGCCACGTGGGACTCCAGCCACGCAAACCAGACGGCCTGCTCCGACCTCGCACCCCCACCCGCCCACGCCAGGCCCCTCAGAAGTGCCTTCAGCTCCCACCCCCACAGGCCCCGAGGAAGCCACTAATTCCCCACACCTGGCTCCCATCAGCCCAGCAGATGAAGCCCGCTTCCTGCCTTGGCCGTCCTTGGTGGGAGTGGGGGCCTGTAGCCCCTTCTACCTGGGAGGTAGAGCCTGGGGTGCGCTTGCTGCTGTCGGCTGAGACCTGGGGCCCCAGGTCCCTCCAAACTGAGGGTCGGAGCAGAGATGGGCAGGGGTTGTGGGAACTCAGTGCCTCAGTTGTGGGGTGCAGTGAACGTGCCCCCTGTATCCCCCTCCTGGGCCAGTCCCCGGGATACCAGTGGAGAGAGTCCGCGGAGGGGGACTGGACTCTGCCATTTTGCACTCCCTGTCCCCATATCTAAGTGTGTATGCACATGGATGTCCGTGTGTGCGTGAGTGGATGTGTGTGCCTGTGTGTGTACAGGAGGGCCTGGGGTGTTTCGGTGTAAGTGTCTGCGTGTGCCCTGGTGTGCCTGCCCCGGCGTGTGTCATTCACGTGTGTGTGTTCCCTGGTGTGTGTGTGCCTTTGTGTGTGTATGCGTGCACGTGTCCTGGTGTGTGTGTGTGCCCCAGTGTGTGCTCTGGTGTATGCCTTGTGTGTGTGTGTGTGTGTGTGTGTGCGCCTCAGCGTACGCCTTAGTGTGTGTGCCCCGGTATGTGGGCCTTGGTGTGTGTCTGTGCGTGTGTGTGTGTGTGTTTGTGTGTGCCTATGCCCTGGTGTGTGCACCGGTGTGTGTGTGTCTTGGTGTGCATACTGCGTGTGCCCCATTGTGTGCTCTGGTGTATGCCGTGTGTGTGTGTGTGTGTGCGTGCGTGCATGCCCCACTGTGTGCCCCAGTGCGTGTGTGTGCCCTGGTGTGTGTGTGTGCATGGGGCTGGGGTCTGCCCTGAGGCCCCCCCTGTCGGCCCTGTTGCTGGATGAGTCAGACTTCCTGCGGTGGCCAGGGCGCCCTCACTCTGCTCCCCAGCCCATTCCACCAAGCCCAGGAGACCCCACGAACACACAACAGTGCAGCCGACCCCACCCAGGTGTTGGAGCGCCTCCAGGTGTGCAAATTCCCTTGGCTCCCCCAGCGGGTCCAGCTCGCCCTCTGCAGCCACTTTCCACAGACTCCATGGCCAGAGACCACAAAGGGCCCAGAGGCCTGCGCACACGTGCCCAGCCAGACACTCAGCCCCAGACGTGTGGACGGGCCTTCCCTTGCACATGCAGACACACAGGAGCACAGACAAGAATGAGCGCACCCTGGCTCTAGCCTACAAAGACAGACGTGCACGCAAGCTTTTTCCATGAATCCTAACTCAGGTCCATATGGGAACACACTCACAGACACACGCGGGCCAACACCCCCAGACACTCAGGCACACGCTCACACACGCACACGCATGGATGTCCACACGCATGTGCAGAATTAGATCCATGTACACAGGCCGCAGCGGGGGCACCCGTGCACACACTCACGCACACGCTTGGGCCAACACCCCCCGGACACCCCAACATCCCTGTGCTCACATGTGCGCACACACACACGTGGACTCAGACGTGGGAACCGGGCGATGCAGCACGGCCGGTCCAGCCCCTCTGAGCACCCCTGGGGCCCCTGGCCACACTGTTGACTGTTTCCCTCGCATTGCCTGGACAACGTGGTGTCAGCCCCTGGCGGGAGGCCCGGCCTGTGCTTCCTATTTTCTGAGAACATCACCTCTGTGGACTCAGAGGGTCATCCTCCTGTCCCCTCATTGGGCAGGACTTGGGGCAGTGTGCACATGGGGTGTGGGCTGGGGGTCTCTGGTGTCTCCCCTAAAGCCCCTCGCTGGCCCCCCCCCCTCCCCTGACCCGGGACGGTGAGGCGGCCTGGCTGCTCTCTCTGCACCCCTCCCTTCCCCCCGCCCAGGATGTGAGTAATGGGGCCCTGCTGGCCCCCTCCCCGTGACCTCACCGCTCAGTTCCACAGCTGGGCTCCGTTCTGGGAACTGGGAGGGGGCGGCTCTCCTGGGGTGGGGTGGGGGCCCCTGGCCTGGGAAGGCGCCCCAACTGGCCCCCTTGGCGCTCGCGGAGCTGTCAGGAGCGCGATGGCGGCCTGGCGCGGCCTGCCTGCAGCTGCCTGGGATTTGGTGTTCCCGAGCAAACGCAATCAGCCGTTTCCTGTCTGTTCTGGCTCGGCCGCAGCCCAGGGTTCAGCCCGAGGGCCTGCAGAACGGGCTGTGTCCCCGCCGCGCCCCTCACCATCCCACGCTCCCCACCGCACGGCCTTGTCCCCCGAATGCACCAGTACGTGCAGAGCTGCAGCGGGCCTAGGACACGGCCAGCTCCCCGGCTGACCGGGCCCCCCAAGTTCAGGGGCTGCCTCTGCTGCTCCTGACTGGGACACGGCCCCCTCCCCACCTTCCTCTCCAGCTCCTCATCCTGTCCCCCAGTTTTTGCTGAGGGGCCGAGGGTCCGAGGGTCTGAGGATTGGTGCCAACCCGGGCCGGGCCCTCCTGCTGCCCCCAGCCCCTTCCTTTCAGTGTGGCTTCCAGAAGGGGCAGCAGACTTTGTCCCCATCACAACTCTGTCCCTTGCAGATGTCTCTTGAGGTGCTCCACCTGAGGTCCTGCACCTGGCCGCCAGGTTAAGGACAGGGACGGCTTGTCCTGAGACCTGGGGAGAGCTCAGGGGGCCTCGGCTGGGGCTGACGGGAAGACGTCAGGTCTGGGCTCGTCTTGGGCACCCGCCCGGCCACATGCTCCGGGGCTCCCCACAGGAGGGGGGCATGGGCCCCCCCCCAAGCACCGAGGTCTCTTATCCCTCCCCTCTCCCGGTCCCCACCTCCCCTGTCATCTCCTGTACCATCGACCAGAGTGGGCGCCCTGGAGCAGGTGGCCACTCCAGGGACTGCAGACAGACGGCGCGCAGGAGGGGAAACTGAGTCACAGAGAGACCTTCCCGGTGCTGGCTTCTGGGCAGGCGCTGGAAGGCAAGCACCCAACCGTCACACATGCAAAGCAGGTCTGAGAGGGGCAGAGGCCAGGGGGAGGGCATCAGTGGGTGGGCAGAGCCCTCATCCCGTGCTCGGAGCACGCTCATGGGCACCACGGACGGGTCCGCGTGGTTGTACAATGCTGAGTCCTGCCCCATCGCCCAGAGAGGGTTTGAGGGCACAGCCCCTCACCCACCCAGGCACCGCAGTGGGCCTGGCTGTCAGGCGTCCTCAGGGGGTCGCTGGGGGGTGCAGCTGGGGGGTGAGCCAGAAGCACAGAGACAGCCCCAGTGGAGCAGGTGGGTGTGGGTGTGGGTGGGGCAGGCAGGAGGAGTACTCTCCGCCCAGGGCTGGAGTGTGGGGACAGGGAGCCACAGCTGCCGGGAACCTCGAGGCCCCCCCCACCCAGAATGCCTGGCGCTGGGCCAGCCCACCCTCTCTGCCATCTCTCCCTCCTAGTGCCCCAGAGAGCATTTCGGGATGTGTCCCATGCCTGGGGGATCCTTTTCCCCAGAGTCAAGGGCCATGGGTGAGGCAGACACCCTCTGTGTTACTTGTGGGCAGGGAAGGAGGTAACCCTGCCCTGGGCCTGAGAAATGATCAGGGTTTGCTGGGCCAGGGAGGGGGGCAGCTCGAGCAAAGGCAGGAGGCCAGCAGGCCAGAGAGCTTGGAGAGAGGGAGCAGCCTGAGCGGCCCGGGCGAGGGGGGTGGGTTGGGGAGTCCCTGTGTTCCCAGGAGGGGCTCGGACAACCCCAGCTAAGGGCAAGGTGCCACCCTCGAGGCCCCACACCAGGGAAGGGCACGGGCAAATTTGCCTTCTAGAAGGAAGCCGGGGCTCAGAGGGACCAGCAGGGGCAGAGAAGCCTGGGCCAGGAGCCCGGTTAGAGTAGGGACGCAGGGCCAGGCCCGATGGTGGGGCTGAACACCGAGGAGAAGATGAATGAGG